GGAGGGTAACATTCTGATTTCTATGAGTACAACTCGAAAGGCAATGTTGGTTGGAGGATAAATAAAATAGTTAATAATGCCATAATGTTAATTATACAGTTATTTTTTTTTAAGACAATTGTTTAAAAACTTGGAAGAAGCCTAGCCATGGTAATTTTTTAATCAGGAGAGAATAGAATAACCAATCTTACAATTCAAACGGTCATTTTCCTCTCAAAGGTTGAAAGTTGGTGTGCCTTATTTTGCAATTTAGTTGGAGTAAAATCAAAGACAAAGCACAATAAATAAAATAAATAAAAAGGAATAAAGATCTTTTCTAATACACTAACATATCGATAGGCTAAATTTTTTAACTGTTAAATCTGTATAAAATTACGTATAAATCAAAAAATATACAGATTTAACAGTTACAAAAAATTTGACTTATTATTACACCGATATACCAAAAATCTCTCATAAAGAATAAAAGGATATGAATGTATAATGTTGATTATTTTGCTCCTTTTGTCTCATTCCACAGCAATACGTGTTATTTGTAATTAAAATATGTATATTTGATTTACAGGCCACAGACCAATAAAGAATATTTTTACATCGCTAGATTAACCTCTTGATCATGTGAATTTTGGAATAATTTATTCTCAACTAGAGGGAAAAGAAAATAATAAGCTCTTTTTCACACACTACTTTATAATGCAGGTACTAAGACTTGTCAAAACACTATTGACGCACCAGTTGTGTCAACAGGCACTTAACCTATCTCACAAGTTAATTAATTCCTATTTTCATACCTTTCCAACATACAGCAGTACCATATAGCATAATATACATACACACATAGGTCAAGTCTTCAATCCAGTATAGATTAAAGCGGTATATATATATATATTTTTAAAATATGTATATATATTTTTTAAATGTGTATTTTTTTTAAAATATGTATGTATATTATATAATTTATCATAAAAAATATACATATTTTAAATAAAAATATACACGTTTTAAATATATATATATTAAAAATATATATATACAAGTGCCGCTCTTATCCGAGATTAGAGACAATTTCTATCTATATATATATGACCAGTTTTAATTTTTTTGCCTCTTGATGAACATCATATATAAAAAACGAGAGGCAACAATTGATAGGAAATATTTTAAAGATTTTTATTTAAACAGGACTAAGTTTGTTTTTTTGTATTGAGCACTAATGAAAATGCCAGTACTTCACTCTCCAATTGGTGTTCAAACAACAACTCAACAACAATGAAAGTGACCGATAAGCTCATATCCATCTTATATACATAGTTATGATTGGATTTCTTACCTTTTATTCAAGAAAATATCTTCAATAGTTTAAGTGAAAAAGCTTTTCCTTTTTGCACGAAATCCCATCACATATACTGATAACAACATATCAAACTTTTAGGTGGGCCAACTTAAACATTAGTTGATTAAGATTATTTTCTTTGTAAAACCAAAATAAAATAATTATATTCTAACTTAGAAACGCTTAGATAAGTTACATATACTATGAATATGCAAATGAATCTTTCTTTCTTAATTAAGAATGGCATCACTATATTAGAAAATTAATAAGAACAAAGTATAGCTAGCAGTAGATAGTTTATTCTATTAATTTATGCCTCCATCCAACAGAAAAATCAATTGTGAAAGCTGACAATCCATTGAAGGAAGGAGTAGATAATTATCAAGCAGCAATTCCTTTTTACTGGCTAATGTATTATTGATCATTTTGAGTAAATAATGAATATGTTAAGAATTAGATGTCTTAAAAGAGAAAATAAATGGAAGAAAAATAACCAAATATAACACACATAATTTGTAGTGATTCACTCTTAATATAAAAGTTAATTATGTCCACTTTCAATCATTGTAAAATTTCACTATAATGAAGTACTACAAGAAAAAATCACACCCCTTAACTATTAGTTTATAATTTTCATTAAATTCATTTCTTGTTTCTCTCGTGTTAAGAGTTGAAGGGCGCGATGTAATAAATGTTTGATTAAATTTATTTCTTATTTCTAGACAATGGACAAGTGACAAAGTAGATATGATCTGCGGAATATGAAATTACGCAATGCAATATTGACCATAGAAATTTTAAGGGAGCATTGAACGCTACAACTGCATCTGAAACTTCAAAGTTTCAGTTATAAAACAAGGTTTAATAGAAGCCCCTCGACTATTAGTAGTGAAATGCTTATATTAAACACGAAGAAGTTGGAGGATATATCAACAGGGTTAGAAAACTTTACTAGCGGAGTTACTGGGCTTGTTCTTTTGCTGTTTTTGAGTTAGGTGATTTGAGTGTAGATTTTAAATTGAATTTGAGTTATAATTTGAGTTGAAGTTGTAACTTGAGTTTGTGTTTAGTTTTGTACAATTGAGTTATGGTTTGAGATAAAAATCTTTTTGAGTTTGTGTTTGAGTGAGTCAAAACTTAAATTTGTATTTAGATAGTATTTTAATAAAAACTCAATGCTAATGGAAAATTTTAATAGGGTATATGGGTGAGGTTTTATTCGTCTTTTCGTTGTCAACGCATAGAAAAAAAATCATCTCAATCAGAATTAAAATGAAAAAGTTATAACATTTTTAAGAATAGAAAAAATACTGTTAATTAATTTGAGTTCGAGTTTCTGAACTCGAGTTAAAGGGAAAACTTAAACTCGAGTTTTAATCTCAAACTCGAGTTCAAACTTAAAAGAACATGAATTTGAATAAACTTATAACTCAAGTTATTTTTTTTGAGTTTTAACTCAAAAATGGGACTGCCCGAACAGCCCCTGAGATTCCTTCATCCAAGGAGAAGAAGGATTGGTTGCACTTGCACCACATCCATCTTTGCTAAGGTTTTTCTTTAAAAAATAATAATAATAATAACAAAAAAAATTGTGCAAGAACTATCTAATGGTGGTCGAGTATTTTTCTTTTTTGTTTTTTCTTGATTAAAAATGGTTTTAAGATTCATATGTGTACTTTTTAGTGATGGTTATTTATTTGTCTAATTGTTGCTGAGTTTTTTTTTTTTTTTTTTTTTATATTCCCGGATGGAAATCTACTTTTTAATACAACAATTTTGTGTATTATGCAACAAGGAGGGTCCTGTTTTTCGTCCAATGTTGATTTGCTTTTCGTGTTGTGTATAATTTACATGATAAACTATGCTTTTTTTTAAAGGATAAACTATGCTTTTTTTTAAAGGATAAACTATGCTTTATTTGAGGAGTTTAATGCTAAAGACAATAGAGTGAACAGGTGTTGTGTAGAAGTAAATTTTTTTTTTTTTTTTGCTCTGTATCATTTTCCATCATCCATTTCAAATTTGTCTTATTTTTTTCTACTCTAGCATCCTGTATTGAACATCGTTGCACATTTCGTTGTGTGAAAGAAATAAAATGACAATATCTAATTTACAAAAAAATAATAATAATAAAATAGATAGCCCAATAATACATATCAAAATTCATACTAGCAGCTCATTACACAATCAAAATAAAATGAATAATATCTTTTATAAAAATGAAATCTTACATTTAAAAATAAGAAAAAAAAGATGTGCGGAGAAGTTATTCATTAGTTTTAATAAAATAAAAAAAAGTTATTCGTTAGTCAAGGGCTTTAAAGGAGAATTTTTAAACCAAATGTTGTAGGCATTCCTATAAATTAATTCAACTTCCTCTCCCTCATGCAGCCTAGTTTATTTTACCGATTCGAGTTTTCAATTCTAGATTTTTACAGTAAAAAGTTATCAGAAAATGTCACATCGAACTTTTTCTGTTATAGTGAAAAGCTCTCAGAAAATGTCACATCTCAACTCAAATTAAAAACTTGAATCTGCGAAGTGAACGAGACTCTACAAAACTCATTCAAAGCCATTTTGGAACGAAACCTTAACGTCAAGCTGTGAGGAGAGCACCCAACATTTACATATCCAATTAAAGGTAATAAAACGGATCCATTTGAATTTAGGTTGTTTGCTTTTTACCAAAAAAAAAAAAAAAGAAAAAAAAGGAAAAAGAAAATGAATTTGGATCAAACTGAAAGATTGTGTGAGAGTGAAGGGATGATCTGATGTATGAATTTGCTTAAGCTTTATTGGTTTGTTTCTCCCTCTTTTAAAAATCATTTTGAGTGGCCCTTTTCTTAGAAAAATGGGAGTGGTTTAATTGAGTTACTTTTCCTTTTCTTTTTTCCACCAAAAAATAGTTAAGGATATTATCATCATTATAGGGTGGTTTTTACGGTTCTCATCATTATCACAAAATTTCGGCATTATTTCATAGGATGATAGGATTATGTCATTTATGTCATCATCCCTATCTTGTTTTATAGTTTTCACAATCCATTCTCCAAGCCAAGTTCCATACTTTAACAATCCATAGAATTTGGTTTGGAGTGAATGGGTGGTTCTCTTCAATTTCCTTGAGATTAGCCAAGTTCCATGGGTTAACATCTTTCTCTGTGGGTGGGTGTATATGAATTATGATTATGACCACATATTGTAGATTTCTCTTGTTACTATTTGACAAACTTGTACTTTTCTTTGTTGGCCCAACAATGGTGGTGTTGGCCTCTGACAATCAAGTATCTTTTGTTTTGTTGTTAGTTGGGGCATAAGGTAGAGAGGCCAATAATGGTATGGATTTACTCCGCATATTCTTGTTTAAATGTTTTGAAGCCTTCATCAATAACCAGCTGGTGTGGTTCAGTTGGTGAGAGTGTGTGACTGTTACCAACAAGGTCGAAGGTTCGAGGCCAGCCACAAGGTCGTGTGGCTGTTAATCTTGTTTGAATATTTTCTTGTATTTATTTATTTAATTACTTTTTAAATTCACGTTTCAGAAAGTGTGAACTTTGTTCGTTTGTGTGTGAGAGAGAGAATGTTACCATTACACTAGATCTCAATCCATTCTCTACACATTAGTGTGGATATCACCCGGATTTCTTGCACTTCCATTTGGGTCAATTAAAAAAAAAAAAAATTCGAAGAATTAAAATATTTAGCATCAAATTGTTGTTATTATCGATTATGTAACCTCATGAATCAATAAGATGAAGGAAGTTGCTTTGAAGCATTGAATTGATTATGGTGCTTTAAAGTTGCTTAGGAATGAATATACGAGTACAGCGTACTGGGATTGTTGCCTATAAGATGACTATCACCTTCTCCTTGTTCCAGCTGAGCATATATGTCTTTAAAGAAACTTACCTATATATAATTTCATTCTCTGTCGTAGTTGAAGTGCAAGAAATCTGTGTAAATCCCCGGGTGATATCCACATATGTCAACATAACTTTAAGATGCAAGGTGCAAAATCCACTTGGAAATTTATGACTTATAAAGGGACAGACAGAAAACCACGTCAGTATTTACCCCTCCAAGAATGCCACTTCAATCTCAACTGGAACCACAAGGGGGGCAAACCGAGGACCCCTTTTGCTAACCATGGATCAAACACATCGAAATGCACCCATCTTAGAGAGTCCAACAAAACTTGGGCAGGCACGGCCGGGAGGAGCACCTGACGAGCCTCAGCAGGCACCGTTTCTGCTAACCCACGAGCCTTTTGAAGATGAACATTAGCAACAGACGCCATGTCAAACATCACATTACATATTTTTTCCTGAGAATCCAAATTTATTTCTGATCGATCTCCCTGTTCAACTAGTAATCCATGCTTTTTAGCTACCTCAATCGGTATATATGAAAAATGGCGGTTGCGGCTAGCATGGTAAGGCAGCGACTTAATCAGCAAAAGAAGGCTGCTCGCTTTACCAATATGTGATGCTGCGTGATCAGCTCAGTGGACATGACACCACCAGCTTGCAGCGTTGTGTAAAGAATAGTTGATGCAGTATCTTCAGCATATCGCTCCAACTCTTCGATTTTTTTCTGGAATTTCAGTGACCTCTCTCCTTGCATCATTGATCCGAGCTTCTACTAACCGTTTCAGCCAGCCCTTGGTGATTCTGTTCTCGTGTATGACTGAGGAGAGCGCCTGTGCCGTTGGGTGTTCAATTGTCTTTTTGACGTAGATTTTGTCTGGCTTCTTGCCACCAAACCAGGCGCATAAGACCAATCTTGGGATCAGAAGCGACGTCCATAGCTCTGGCCGTTTCAATGTTGAAAGCACGGATTGCAAAAGCAGCCTTCCGCATGTTAGGGGGAAGCTCAAGAAGGCAAAGGTAGTGGTGGTAATCATAGCTTCGCACTTGCTGTGCGCAGTACGAGAATGCTGCCTGCAAGCTACTAGATTGGAAAGCACCATTCATTAAACTTTTGCTGCAGTTACACCTGTAGAAGAATGGTCCCATCAATTGTGAGGAAGAGGTTCAAGTAGGACTTTAAACTGTATGACTCTTATTAGATGAAAGAAGAAGATAACAAAGCTTAAGGTGTAATCAAAACTCCATATATGCATTAGGAGAAACTCAGTAACATCATCGTGAAACTAAGTTCTTGGAATAGAAGTGTTCTCAAGATATTATTTAAACTTTGATTAAAACTAATAAAATCAGAAATCAACACAGCTATTGATGCGAACAATTTTTCTATTCTTAATTAGATTTTGCTTAGAGTCAATAGACAGCTAAATCCTGCAAATCACTTTACTTAAATCTGCCTGGCTGATAATGATCCGTGACTATCATCACATTGCACAAAACGATCTCCTTGTAGATACGAACCTTATATGAACATCCAACATATCAAATAATGAAACAAATAAAAAAAAATCAGAAACATGGCAGCGACACCAACAACAAGCATCAGAGACAAGGAGAGCAAAGGTGAGGACTGAGGAGGAATCGGAGGGAAAGGAACCAAGAGAGAAGACTGGCAATGAAGAGGAGAGGTAAAAAACCTGATTGAGAGGGAAGAAGAAGAATGTATGCTTTAAACGACATAAAAGGGGATTTAAAAAAAAAAAAAAAAAAAAACAACTAAACAAAACGACGTGAAACAAACGGGAGGAAAAGGGCACGAAACACGACAAAATAGAAGGACAAAAACTTTGAACAGTTAAAACTGAGAGAAACTACAGTAAGCTTACTCTACTTTCTAAAATAGTTATAGATTATAGAAATTAGAAAGAGAAAAAAAAAAAAAAAGTAAACATATTTTGGATAAGGCGACGAAATTTTATGAACAAACTTCAAGTTATTCTACAAGCTAAAAGGCTTATTTTGTAAGCGTACCCTTGTCTAAATTTAAAGAAATCATATCGATCTTACAGCTAAAATGTCAAGACAATCTCTAGAATTATAATCAGAATACAATATCTCGAAAGGTAGAACTTGAAGGAAAAGAAAATGCAATGAAGTTGTGCGTTGAATATTAGGTTGCCAATATATTAGTGTAACATGTAAGGAGAAAGGCAAATCTTAATAACTACTGGTCCTGATTTACTTGTTACGCAAGGCAAATCTTAATAACTACAGGTCCTGATTTACTTGTTACGCACATAAACAAAGTCCAAAACTAGCTTGTTAAAGCTCAAAATGCATGCTCTCCTCTTATTCACCACACAAAAGCAATAAAAGAACACCATCTTTCTCACAGGAAATTGATCAAACAGTACTAAGGCATTTTTATTTATATTTATATTTATTTGTGAGTAAGGATACCCAATATTTATAAAACGCCGGTTAAGCATTCTAACCTATCGAAGATTTAATACACACACACACACACACAATGAGGACCAGCATAATAAAAGGCAAATCATTATATAACTATTGATCCTGATCCCTCGATATGGACATAAACAAAGTCATAAATTAGCTTTTCAGAGCTCAAAGTACCTGCTTTTCTTTTATTCGCCATACAAAAGAATTATAGGAATACCATCTTTCTCACAGGAAATTCATCAAACAGTACTATGGCAGTTCCGTGATATCTCATTTTTTTTCCACTCTTTAGTCCTATAACAGTATAGCCGTTAACCAAAGAAACCCAGCACTCAAAAAACGCCCATTAAGTATTTCTACCTATTCTAGATTTATTCATAAAATCAATGGAAATCAATGAAAAACCTGATAAAACAAATCAAGGCCACTTCAAGCGTACCTCAATCCTGCGAGTAGAGACTGAAAGAGTGGTGAAGCAACATGTTAAATTCAATGAAGCCTGCAGCGAGCACACTACTCTACACCATTGGCAATAGAGACGAAGGACGTAGAAAGAAGAAAGCAGGACGTAGAAAAAAAAAAGCCTTTTTTTTTTTTTTTTTTTTTTTTTTTTGCCCTTTGCTTGTTTGTGTCGTTTTGCGTTTACATAGAAACCGTTTAAATACATTCTTCCAGAGCGTAGAGAAGCAAAACCCAACCCTTTATAATGGGTTGGGCATAAAACAAATGGGCTTGCGACGGGGTTTTATGCACTGGCTGTTGGAAGCTGCTTCTTCCTCTTCTTCTTTTTTGTTTTTTTTGAAGGGTCTTTTTCTTTTTGGTTGATTTATTTTCACTTAATTGAGCTCTTAATGTGAAAACATTTGCACACAAAATTGATTAGTTGATCCATAAAAAAATGATTAGTTGAGAAGCCTTGAATATGAAAGTTAAGTTTAGCAAAAATTTTGAAATATTACAATATCATTTTTATATCAATAAAATAATGATTATATCATTATATAGTACAAAATATGATATAATTACTATGTCATTTTTGCTATATTTATAATATTTTGAAAATTTTGTTAAATTTCAACACAATATATGAAAATTTACTGTGTAATGTAATTACTATCTTTTTTAACCACCTCTTTTCATATATAACTGATTTTTTTTATTTTACAAAAATGGTTGTTATGTTTACATAAGTCAATCAGTGATTGACCTATGGACCACATTCTATCAATGATTGACATACGGTCAATCAGTGATTGACCGATTCATTATTAATTTATTATTAATAAACATGTAATTTGTTTATTAAAATTGATAAATTACAACATAATTTTAGTTAATTATTAATTAATGTTAATTAATAATAAAGAATAATCGAGTCAATCAGTGATTGACCGCTAAGTCTATCAATGATTCACTGTTGAGTCTATCAATGATTGACTGTTAAATCTATCAGTGATTGACTAAAACAGCCATTTTTATAATTTTACAAAATTTCGGCCATTTATGTTAAACATTCTTTAAAAAAAGGCTATTTTTGATTAAATCTCAAACTAAAGGTATACTTTTGATGAGATTAAAATTAAAAGTATACTTTTCTAGAAAAAAGTAAAGGCATATTTTCTAAATAAATCAAAAATTCAGAGTACGAAAAGGTAAGGAGTTATTTGGTATATATACTCAAAACTCAAATGATGATTCTGTTTAATTTGAATCAAAAAAGTTCCTATTAGTAGTTCTTTTACAAAGAATTTGAATCAAAAGTCAAATCATGGTTCAAATATACTTCCTAAATGAGCCCTAAATCATAGTTCAAATGGAATGACTAAATTGTTTTATGATTTGGCAAGTCGTGCATCCACCTAAGTTGAAACTTGACCAGGGACTAGTTTTGCCAAATCAACTGATGAGTGTGGTGGCAAATCTATGCAAGAGAAGCTAATCTGCCCAGTTATGGAACAAATATAATACCTGTGTCAGGCGAGTTTGTATGCCATGGGATTCCAGTAATCTTAAAGCCTCTATTCCCAAGCAGAAATGAAATTAGTGAACAGCAGCAGCAGAACGGTGAAAAGATAATTATGAGTTTTCTTAAAATAATTTAAGGAATAAAATTATCATGATAGGTGATGTAAAAATATTTTGACGGGAAAGTTGCCAAGTTGAAGGAATTTTGAGCAACAAACGCTCAGGAGGCACATTGATTTCATATCATATAACTTCAGCAAACCATGGACCTGCATTTCTTGGTAAAGTACTGGTATTGGACTTCAATCCAGGCAACAAATCAAGCTATGGCCCCTCCACACGCACCAATCAAAGTTTCAACATTAAACTGCACAGTGATGCTTGGATTCCAAATACATTTTGACGGCTAAAGTCGAGCTGAATAAGCAGCTTCAGATAAAGCATTCTAGAACATCAGAAACTGCAAGAGTCAGTGAAACCAACCATAATACAACTACACAAAAGCAACAAGTGTCCGGAACTACAACAAAGAAGCATATTATTTAGGAAAGAAACCTATACCTTTCTTTGGGCGACATTCTTTCCCATTAATTATAGTCCATGTTGTGTCTTTGGCATGTCTAATAAAAGCTAACTTACCTAGTCCACCAAATATAGCCAGAATCATGCATTTTTTTGGATCTTTTTTTTTTTGGGTCAGCTGTGATTATACCTTTTAATCACGTGACAATCCCAACGAGGGGATGAAAGATACAGTCCATCTCCAGGATGACGAGGGAAATAACCCTGGAAGCTCAAGGCAAAGACTTGTAAATGCACAACTATTTTCATGCTTAGCCATAAATATAAGTTTGTCTCTACCAGCACTTATCAGAAACGCTTAATATATGGTATTTATATCGTAAGGTTCAAGAATTTATTTTTCACAACATCATATGCATTCAACGTATTTTCTTCTTTGCCAGAGACTATGAGCATTGGAACGGCCTCATGATGGCTTGATGTATTTGTTATGAGTTTAATTTGATTAAACTTCACTGTAGAATACCATTAAACACAAACAGCACCAAATTGGGTATAATCTTTGAACGATTCTAATTTCTTCAAGATCAAGTCCAATAGATGCTTTAATTGGAACTGTTCCCCAATCTGCAATCTGCAAAGACAAAACCAATTAGCTCTTTTTATATAAGTTATCGGTTGAAACTTTAATCGGAATTGTTTTCGGAGATAACTGAATAGAGAAAGAAATTAATTCATGGAAAAAGATTAAAGAAATAAAACCATATAAAAAAATCACACTAGAATACCGTAAAATATCATGAATAAATGAGCAACAATATTATCTCGATAATGAAAGACAATAAAATAAAATAAAATACAAAATTTTTGCTTGAAATTTATCTTTTTCTCAACAAAGGCTAAACTAACACGGGGCCGGATTATAGTTCTTCATAACAAAAAAAAAAAAATTGTTAAGAACATATTCCATAAAAAAGAATACATACCGCTCATTGTTAAAATTTGAGAGGAAGAGATTTACGGTTGATTTGTTTTTACTTAATTTGAGCTCTTAACTTGTAACATTGATTAGTGGAGCAGCCTTAGATCCTTCATATAAAGTAGTATGACTTCCTCCAAGTATTTCGAGTTTAAATACAGCTCTTTGTCCTATGAGAGACTCAAAGTCCCGTTTAATTCCAAAATTCTATTTAATTTTTGTTGAATAAAATTTTTTTTAATTGATTATTAGTTATCTAATGCAATTTTATTTTTTATTTTTTTTCCTTTTGCTGAATTATCAAATGCAAGCTGGCCACGTGTGTATATGCATCCAAACACAAATAAGGACAGTGTTACTCTTTTTTTTTTTTTTTTGCTAATCAGGACAGTGTTATTCTTGTTACCAAACAGAACAGTTTCCTTCGTAACATTTTTTTTTTTTTTTAGCAAAGTTTCGTTCGTTACAATTACGAAAGGAAAAAAACAGAACATTCCAGAACCACGAGATTCCACTTCACCAGAAGTCTCTCGGCCCTGCCTCTCACTCTTCTTATAAGCTCAACACAAAACAAAACCATCTTCACTAATCTTCAATTTTCTTCACACCCTTCGAAAATTACAATCCTGCCCCTGCGCCATGGCTGACGATGCCAAAGCCAAAGGCAACGCCGCCTTCTCCGCCGGCGACTTCATCGCCGCCGTCTCTCACTTCTCCGACGCCATCGCCCTCGCTCCGACCAATCACGTCCTCTACTCGAACCGATCCGCCGCCTACGCCTCCCTCCAGAGGTACGCCGAGGCCTTGTCTGATGCCAAGAAGACCGTCGAGCTCAAGCCTGATTGGTCCAAGGGCTACAGCCGCCTCGGCGCCGCTCACCTCGGCCTTGGCCACTTCGACGACGCCGTTTCCGCCTACAAGAAGGGCCTCGAGATCGACCCTAACAACGAAGCCCTAAAATCCGGCTTGGCCGACGCCCAATCGGAGGCCCGCTCCCGTGCTGTGCCGTCGCCGAATAATCTCTTCGGCGACGCTTTCTCCGGCCCCGAGATGTGGTCCAAGCTCACGTCCGATCCGACCACGCGGCCCTACCTTCAGCAGCCGGATTTCGTGAAGATGATGCAGGAGATTCAGCGAAACCCTAATAATCTCAATCTATATTTGAAGGATCAGAGAGTGATGCAGGCGTTGGGTGTTCTGCTCAACGTGAAGTTCCGTGCTCCGACGCCGGAGGATGCGGAGATGCAGGAGTCCTCGACGCCGGAGAGGAAGGCTGAGCCGCCGAAGGAGGAGGAGAAAAAGGCACGGGAGCCGGGATCGGAGTCAATGGAACTGAGCGTGGAGGAGAGGGAGAAGAAGGAGAGGAAATCGCAGGCTTTGAAGGAGAAGGAGGCTGGGAATGCAGCTTACAAGAAGAAGGATTTCGACACGGCGATTCAGCACTACACCAAGGCGATTGAATTGGACGACGAAGATATTTCTTTCATCATGAACCGTGCGGCGACTTATCTAGAGATGGGCCAGGTAATTGCAAGCATATGAACTACTTAACTTGAAAGCTTTTGTATAAGTTGGCAATTATTTTGATGTGATGTTTGTAATTCACAGGACTGGTACTATTTTAATTTTTGGGTTTTTGAGCTTTTGGGCTATGGTTACAGGTGTTATTTATCAATTGGTAATCGTTGTCATGTAATCGTTGACTAGGGTGCTTTTAAGCATGTGAACTAGTTAACTAGGGTGCTTTTACATCAATTGGTAATCGTTGTCATGTAATTGCAAGTATATGAACTATTTAACTTGTGTTCTTTTAGATCAATCTGCAATTTTTTTTTCCCTCTGTGATCTTTGTCATTCATCCTAGGCATCTCTGTTTGAAATCAAGTTTAAATCCCTTTCTCTGGTATTTTAGTATGAGGAATGTATAAAAGACTGTGACAAGGCTGTTGAGAGGGGGCGAGAGCTAAGGTCAGACTATAAGATGATAGCAAAAGCTTTGACTAGGAAAGGAACTGCCTTGGTGAAATTGGCCAAGAGCTCGAAGGACTATGAACCCGCCATTGAATCCTTCCAAAAAGCTCTGACGGAGCATCGCAACCCGGAAACACTGAAGAAACTAAACGATGTTGAGAAAGCCAAAAAGGAGCTTGAGCAACAAGAATATTTTGATCCCAAGTTGGCTGATGAGGAGCGTGAGAAAGGTGTGTCTTCTCTTACTAAAATTATCTAGAATCTTTTATAGGCATCATTTAGATTTCCGGAATTAACCTAATTTGTCATGCTCTCATACTTTATTTCCTTTTTTTTTTTTTTTTTGCCTGGGTCCATGTGAGAATGGACTCCCTAGTCCATATTGTGACCACTTAAGAGCTTGTAGGGCAATTGATGTTTCTGTTTGAACTGAATGTTTCCCTGTTTCGGCATATTTCAATACTTCCCTCTGTGTATTAAATCTGTAGCTTGATTATTCGTTAACAAAAATGGATGTGCAGGAAATGAGTTTTTCAAGCAGCAGAAGTATCCTGAGGCTGTCAAGCATTACACTGAATCATTGAAAAGGAATCCCAACGATCCAAAGGTAGGAAAAAGCTTTGATGTTCTTAGGAATAGACTGTATAGTTATAGAACGTTGGAAAACCTTTGATGTTCTTAGGAATGGACTGTATGAATATAGAACGTGAAGTGCGTAGTCTGATGCTGCATCAACTCTCTTTTAATTTTATCTACAGGCCTATAGTAATAGAGCTGCTTGCTACACGAAACTGGGAGCGCTTCCTGAGGGACTGAAGGATGCGGAGAAGTGCATTGAGCTCGACCCGACATTCTCGAAGGGCTATACGAGAAAGGGTGCTATCCAGTTCTTCACGAAGGAATATGAGAAAGCTTTGGAGACGTACCAGGAGGGGTTGAAACATGACCCTCAAAACCAGGAGTTGCTTGATGGTGTGAGAAGGTATGGAACATCGAGTACTAAGCTACTAGCTAATGGTTTGGTGCTTGATTCTTTGTTTTTGTGCGCATCATGAGATAAAGGTGCACAATGGTGGAGAGCGTACTTTTTAATTGCCTCTTGAATTCTTTTCTTGTAGATGTGTAGAACAAATTAACAAGGCTAGCCGTGGAGATTTGAGTCCTGAGGAGTTGAAGGAGAGACAGGTTTGGCCTTTTTGAACAACTTTTGAGATAGGTTCTTTTAGGCTATTTTGTTAAGGATACTGTAGTAAGTTAAATCTGTTCCTGCAGGCTAAAGGAATGCAGGACCCGGAAATTCAGAACATCCTCTCAGACCCTGTTATGAGACAGGTAACTATAATTTCATATATATATATATATATGTGTGTTTTTTTGTTTTTTTGTTTTTTGTTATTATTCTTAAGGTTATACTTGCAAATTTGGTATGGAGCTTCTAAATACTATTTTTGTTGGGGTTGTCGACAGGTATTGATTGATTTCCAGGAAAATCCAAAGGCTGCACAAGAGCACACAAAGAACCCGATGGTGATGACCAAAATTCAGAAGCTGGTCAGTGCAGGAATTGTCCAGATTAGATGAAATTTCAAAAGATGCAATTCTTATGGGCCATGAAGGGAAAAAAGGATCTTTTGCTTGATAAAGTTGTACTTTCTCAGTGTGAATTTTAGTGATTTTGTCCAAAGCTACTTTCGGTTGAAATATTTTGAGTCTTGCTTTCACATTTATTGGTGATTCTAGTTTTAACCGTTTTAAACTCACTCTCACTCTCTCTCTTGCAAGAGCGCGCGTGTCCGCCAATACAATTTTATGATCATCTAGAGGTGTCAAACGTGCCGTGTCGGTCCTGCACGATACCTATAACCCTAAGCCCACCACGAGCCAAGCACAACCCTGAACAGTTCAGAGCCATGCTTGGGCCGGGCTTGAGGGGAGACCTTCAGGCCCAACCTTGACCCAAGCCTTTATTTGTAAGGGCCCGGGCTAGGCCCTTCACGGGTCGGTCTTAGCTCTTTTAATATTTTTTGTAATATTTAATGAAAAAAAAACGAAACATATCATATGCCTTTAAAAAAATATTTTTTTATCAAGTAAAACTCGTGAGGTGATCAGGATAAAATTTTAGCGAAAGAAAAAAGAGTACGGTATACAAGGATAAGTAAATTACAAGGATGAGTAAATTATAGTGCTTGAATTGCTTTCAGAAGATTTTGTTATGTTTAAGTTTGAAAAATATTTTTGAAGTGTATCATTTGTATAGTGTTGTTTGTGTCTTCTCGCTTCTTTCTAGTCTTTTACGCACATTAGCCCTTTCAAGATATCATGGTACATTCTACTCATCTTTTTGTTAAGAATTCGGTTTCTTGCACTAAATGCTTGCCTCGATGTTGCCGTTGACACTGGAGTTATTAGAATGTCACGTGCTACTTTTAGCTTACAGTGCTACAGGTGTTTATTACACATAGTTATGGAGATCGTAGTTTGGATCTTAAGCTTAATCGTTCTGATATGCAGGATCCTCTACTGGAGGCAAGCATAGAGCATACTAGATAAGGGGATGAAGATCATAATATAAAAGAGGGAACTCAGAATTTTAGAGAGAAAGAGAGAATTTAGAAACTCATATTTGATTACTGGGAAAGCTGTATACAAGTTCTTCTTGGTTCGAGGAACTCTGCCTAAACCAAGAGAATGCCTCTCAATGTATAGCTGAGGCCAAACACTAGTCACTCCAACAGGATAAGATACAAACTAATATACTTTTGACTAATTGGGAAAGACTCGCGACTTTAAATAAAGTAAGAAAAGATAAAACTACTTTCAGTGGAGTGGCAGACATGACACTGTTACACTTTTGACTTAAGCAAAAAGTAATACTGTACAGGATAGAGGATAAGGACTTATGACTGAGAGATGGGTCCCATCACAGAGAGATAGTGCTTGTTTCTGTGGATGAATTGGACGGACTTGTTTCTTGAATGCAGTCACGTGTAAGCCACTGATTAAGATCTATTGGTGAGTCATTATTTAGGTCTTGGGAATCTTGGAATAGTGTAGAGTTGAAGTTTGGTTGTTCCTGTGTGTCTCGGGGTGGTTGAGCAGTATCTTCCTGTGTACCTTGGGGTGGTTGAGTAGCGCCAAAAGTTGATGCCCCTCCTTGGTTGAAAGCAAAGTATCCACTGTTGCTAACAGTGAAGATGTTATCTGGCCCATAGACATGAAGTGGCGGAGCTATTGCAGAGCTGGTGCAGGGTCGGAGCAAGAGATCTGGTTGATGTCCATTTTCTCTGCATAGAACTTTGCCAAGGTGGTCGGAGATATCCTTGAGAGACTGGGGATAGTTATACCCAGTGTACAAAGCATATATCTCATGTTGGGTGTAAAGTCCTTGTGTCTGGGAATTGAGTAGATATGGACGGTGTAGGAAGAAGATAGTGTGCACCCGGGGGACTTCTCTAGGGGAAAGGGTCCAGACTTGATAACGCTGAAGGAGTTGTTCGACTTCTTGTCTCCACCATGGGAGTGGATTGATCATTTCTAGAAGTTGCCAAAGAGCTGACCCCTCGTTACTGGGATTACTGAGATGTGTGTGCATATGCATTAATGGGTAGTTCAGAGCGATCTTGTAAAGAGACATTAGGCACCATACGTACTAGATGTCGTCTTGCGTAACTTTGACAAAAGGCCGGAGGTGGAAGATGGCAAGGTATGGCTGGTCAGGATTGTACATGAGTTCTGTTGGGTCGATCTTACAGACTCTAGATAAATAGTCGAAGAGGTGGATTCTTGCATAGTGTTTGATTCGCTCAGGAGGAGCTGTACTATCTAGGCCTGGCGAAAAACGGTGGTCTGGCTTTACCGGAAAACATAGCGGTGTGTGGACACTGTTATACATATAGATAAGAGGGAAAGCCTTTTGGGAAGTGATTATCTGGACTGGCTTTGGTCGAGTTAAGAAATCAGGAATGAGATTGTGGTGGCCTTTTATATGTTTGACAGAAAAGTTATATCTTTCAAACTAGCTTTTAAGTCTGAGTAATTGCGGATCACAGAGAGTTTTATTTTTAAAATCAAGGACTTTAGGGAATGATGAATTATCCATTCGGACCTCAAAATTAAATCCTCTAAGATGGAAATCAAATTTTTGAATTCCATATTTTACCGCAAGAATCCCCTTGTAGATGGTGTGATAGTGCTTTTCTGATTCTTTACACTGGCCACTGGCATGACCACAATAGTGTTTCTTGTCATCTTGTTCTTCGATAAGAATAGCCCCCCAGTAGTGGTCACTTGCGTCTGTTTGTAGCACTCTTTTTCCTGTGCTTGGAATCTTCAGTGGTGGAGGTGACTGGGCTATCTTTTTTAAAGCACTGACAGCGACTGTCTATTCTGTCCCCTATTGAGAGGGATTCCTTTTCAGCATCTTTGATAGCTGGCTTGTGTGTTCAGTCACGCGTGGGATGAAATCCCTGAGATAATTGACTATTCCTAAGAATTGTTGAATCTGCTTTACTGTGAGGTTCTTGTTTGGAAACGTCAATAATTCTCGAGCAATGTGCGGGCTGGGCTGGAACTTTCCTTGGGATATCTGCATCCCTAGGAATTCGATCTGCTTTTGTCCTATCTGGCTCTTCTTTTCTGAAAGCATGATTCCGTGTCTGTCCACGATTTGATGGAATTGGGCTAATAGGATTTTGTGGGCTTCTTCATCCTTTGAGAACAAAAGGATGTCGTCTATGTAGATCAAGGCACTGTACAGAATAGGCTCAAAGATTTGGGCCATCGTTCGTTGGAACAGTGATGGAGATGTTTTGAGGCCAAAAGGCAGGACACGCCATTGGTATTGTGCATCTGGAATACAGAAAGCCGTTTTGGGCCTGTCTCCTGGGACAATTTCCAATTGCCAAAAAGCTCCATTGAGATCGAACTTTAAGAAGACTTGGGCTTCCTTCAAATGAGTGAACAGAGAGCTAGTTTTTAGAATGGGAAATTTGTCATCTTGTAGGAACAGGTTTAAAGGCTTATAATCAATAACAAGCATTTTCTTTCCCCTGACCTGTTCGGATCTCTTTTCTACATAGAAGGCCTGACAGGCCCAATTTGACCTGGTGGGCTCAATTAATCCTTGTTTGAGGAGTTGAGCACATTCTTCTCGGGCCAGGGCTAAGTCTGATGGTGTCATTCCTGGATGAGTAGCCTTCGTGGGGTTGACATCCTCATTCTTTTTGAAAGGAAGCTGTATGAAGAACTTCTGATTTTTTCATAATGGGTTGGGATGATGGAATTGATCATGACTGTCAGCACAACATTTCAGAAGTTTATCCTTGATGTCTTCATATCTTGCTGGGGCCTCCTTGATGGAAAATATCTTTAGAATGGCGGAGTAGGGCTTGAACTGTCTTTTGTATTTTAATCCTGAAGGGAGGATTTGAAGGCTTCTTGCTTGACAGTATACGTCCATTCCTATGAGGAGGTCTTTGTCAGGCAGTGAACTTCCGAGGACCTTTGTCCATATGACACAACCGGGAAAGAACTTAATACTAATTTTGTTTTTGGTAATTAGTTCTGTCTTGAATACTTGGTCGTCAGTAGCTTTGAAGTATTCGATGTGTGGGATCCATAGATCCCGTGGAAGAACCTTCAGATTCATCATTGTTCTTCCTGCACCAGTATCCATGTAAGCGATCAGGTTTACTGGATTATCATACTTTGAGGCTAGAATCTGGACTTCAATGTTTGGCAGTGGAGGAGTTGGCGTTGCCATGGAATATTGCTTCATGTTGTAGACTGGGACATGGTAGTCTACTTATTCTTCTGGGCCAGAGTCTTCATAGTCTGAGTCAGGGATAGCAAAGACTGTATCCATGTCTGGATCATCCTGTTCTGAGTATAAGGACTCAAGATCAGCATTTTCTTCATGTTGATATGTAGAGCTGGCCTGCAATTGTTGCATGATTCTGGCGGACTTGGCAAATTTCTTTGGACAGTTTTTTGAATAATGTCCTTTTTCTCCGCAATTGAAACAGCGGTCGGACTTTGGACTGTCATGTTTTTTCTTTCTGAAGAACCGGAACCTTCCTCCTTCTTTTTTATCGAACTTCTTAGTTCTGGCGGATCTTCTTGTGGTTTTATCACGGGAGTGCTTTGTAGGGCTACAGAAGCATTTGTCATCTTTGCATTTGATATGTAAGTAAGGTTTTTTACAAGCCTTCTTGAATTTGGACCTTTCCTTCATCATGGAGGAGAATAGCTCTTGTGTTTCGCAGAGTTTGTTAAGAGCCACTAGAGCTAGTTGATGAATTTCCCCAACGGAGATGTCCTTCAACTTCTTCTTTGTAGCTAGAATGGACCTTTGAAGTTCTGGCTGTAGTTCTTGCGGCAGTGATGATAGGTATACTTGTCGGAGGTTTGGATCGTTGAATCCGTTAAGCATGTAATACTGCCGAGACATTCTTTGATAATGAAATTCAATGTCTTTTCTTTTCAAAGAACAACATTTCATTTCAAAGTATTCTTGACGTATCTGCTTATCAATGAGATTAAAATCTCCGACGAACTATTGGTGTAAGAGTCCAAGTATTCCTGCTACAGTGTCTACTTTGATGAACTGAAACTGTCTATATCCTCCGAGACTCTGAAACCAGAATCTGAGAGTGCCAGTGAATCTAGAGGAGAATTCTCTGAGGACGGCTTGAAGTTCTGCCCTAAGTTTTGACATTTGTAGGTCAATCCATGCTCCGAATTCACTCATTTTTTCTCTCTATTTATCTGGAGGAACTGTGTCAAAGGAGAACCAAGGACCAATTGTTGGCTTTGCAGATGTATTTCCTGACTGCTACTGAGTGTCAGGAGGCTCTTCAACTATGGGGGATGATTCCCGTGTGGGTTCTCCCATCTCTGTCTGTGTCTGTTGATCATTGGATCCTGTAGAGGTAGCCATCAACAGTTGTGTGATGTCCATGGTATCGTTTGCTTCTTCAGACTCCTTGGAATCTGTTTCTGTTTTAGGTAAACTTTCTGGAGACTCTGATGGTTCTGAGTCTGATTCAGAGGCCGAGGCTGATCTAGAAAATATTTCTGATTCTGGGGCTCTTTCTGCCTTTGAAGGGAAAACCATGCAGGCATGAGGGTACTCATGTCTTTTTTCTTTTGCTGGTTTAGGCTTTTGCGAAACAGGTTCATCTTCTTCTTCTGAGGAAAAACTCATTCGAGTGGTCTTTGATTTTGAAGAAGTTGGCCTTGTCGAGGTAGACGACTTTGAACCCGATGGGTCTGACCATATCAGGTCTTTGAAGATCTCATGGGTCATTTTAAAGACCTTAGAATAGTCAGGCTGAGAAGAATAGGAATATGACGGGAACAGGGATGGACCAAAAGGAGGGAGAGGATAGGAGGGTGGATCGAACATTCTCCTTTCTCTTCTATCTAGGTCATCATAAATCTATTTGAGTTTAGCTTTTAACTTTTGAATTTCCGCTTCCTTCTTGTCAAACTCTGGGCCAAAATAGCCCTGGTTGATGAGGCTTCTCAAGTCATGATCTAGACGCTTAATCCTTGACTGGAGGTTCTCATACATTCTTTTTACTTCATTTCCAAGACTATTAAGTCTTTTATCAGTAGGGTTAGCTTGGGCTATGACCTTGTCAACTTTGGTTTCGATCTTCTGCAGGACTTGGTTCTGTGCCCTGGCGTTTTGGGTCTGCCAATTCAGAACTTCTTCTGCCTGCGTTGGAGCTTTGATTCTTCTGTCTGGTTGTATTTCTGTAGGCTGAACATATGGCCGGGAGGCCACCTTGGTTGTTTGGTTCACTTGCCTTTCAAGAGCTGGGAAGTCTTGGTCGTATGATGTGAACATCATGCATGGTGTGGTGTCTAAGACGGATGAGTTCCTGGAGTTTTTCTTGACGGCCCATGGACTGTCTGGGTCATCAGGGTGGAATTGTCTTCTGGTCGTCTAAGATTGAGGGGCGCAGGCACCTTTTTTCTTTCTTCTTCTGGTACTTGGATGATCGTCTTCCTCTTCTTCGAGATCCATCCAGCAGTCGCAGTCTGGGTCACACATAGAGGGATCAGAATCCCATATGAAGTGACCGTCAACTTTATCTGTAAAGATCTTAGATCCGTCTGCTGTGAAACAAGCAACAGGGACGTCTTCCTCTGTAGCAACTGGTTTGATCATCAGGGACGGAGTTGTGCTGGAGTTTTCATCAGGAAATTTGAAGACAGTTTTTACCTGTCCATCTTCAAACCGGATGAATGTTGGATCTGCTGTATGAATAGGCTTCTGGTTCTAGTGCAACTTTTCATAGTTGGTGAACCATTCTAGAGGCATCAGTTTTGTGATTTCTTCTCGGGAGAGCTGCTTGGGGATCTGCACAATGGTCGGGATCTCATTTTCTCTTTATGCTATGATTAGCAGAGTATCCGGTGTATGACCTGGAACAAGGAGATCGAGTGCATGATTTTGCAATCTGTAAATGAGCTGATGATGGAGAGTGGCTATATATGAGGATGGGACTTGTTCTGCACCTGTGATAAGGAGTTGGACTTTGAGACATGTGGTCAAGTTTGGATTCTTTAGAGGTATATTGAAGTTTGGGAAAATGGTTAGCAGGACACTACTAGCATGAAGGGTGGGGAGTGTGGTTCCTATTATAGCATGTTCGTACTTGGTATGCCTAGTATCTAGGAGGGCCAGACGAACAGTAACGGGTAGACCTTTTCTGCCATGAAGGGTTAGGATGAGCCTGATCGCCCCAAAGTGGAGATATGTATGGCCTTCAGCAAGCCACTGGGTGATGAGCTCTTTTGGGATCTCAAGATCAATATATTGTTCTCGAGAGGTACTGGGTACAAGACAATTGTCAAGCTTGGAAGACTGAACATATTCTTTAATGGTGGGTTTATTACTGGAGATAAGTTGCCTAATAGTACGACGGTGTCTTTTGAAAACATTATACGGGCTTAACAAAGGAGGGACTGACTCTTTTACTATGGCGGTTTCTGGTATATAAGAGTATTCGACTAAGTTTTCTATTCTAGAGGAAAGGGATCTTTTACAAAGACTGGGGATAGAAATAGATGAGGATAATCTAGCGGGTTCTGGCTGAGTAGGAGTTTCCATGGTATTTGGGGTTTTCCCTCTTACTCTTCCTTCCTATTCCTTTATATTGGAAAACGATATGTCTTGCTCTTCCACCATTGTAAGATGTTCGGTTTGTCATCATCAGTTACAAAATTAGATTCAAAATATTTTACTAGTTCTGAAGACGCTTGTGTTGATGACGATCTCGATGCTTTCTCCTTCATCTTTAAGAAGCTCAACGATGATCCCTTAGGCCCTGAATTGCTCATTGACGTCGAAGTTGTCTGTTCTTGCTGTCATGTTCCGTATTTTGTTTCATACAAAGCAAACAAGTTTACTAACATTTTCCTAGCCTCTTCTATGGTTAGTTGCATACCAATACCTAAATTATCTACTATAGCAAATATCAAACATTCGGTCTCATCTAATCAACATCTAGGATTTAATATGGTTGCTAATGCATATAACATAGGACAGTTGGCCCAATAACTTTTAAATTTAGCTTTCATTTCATTAACTTTCGGTCTAAAAAGATCAATATCCCTATAAAATATAAATTTTTATGGGACAGTTGGCCCAATAACTTTTAAATTTAGCTTTCATTTCATTAACTTTGGGTCTAAAAAGATCAATATCCCTATAAAATATAAATTTTTATGAAATATTAAATAATTGATGTAAAGCTAGATGCGCAGTAGGATAATAAACACTAGAAAGTAACTCAGTAGCGTTGTAAAATACTTTTAAAAATTTTAAAAAGTACTCACCTATTTTTCAATCTGCATCATAAATAAAATGCTCGTCGTGCTTACTATTCACGTACGTAGTGATGATATGTTGATACGGAATTGCAGTCTTCAACATTAAGTAGGTGGAGTTCCACTTATGTCTCACATCAGTTCGAAACTTTCTTGGCCACATCTAGATGTTCCTGCAATATTGTCGAAATTCTCAGAGGCGAGCTCCAGAACTAGATATGAAAGATAACGATTCTCTAATTTTTGTTAGATGAGGGGAAATAGATTCAATTCTTGCTTGTACTACTAAATTTATTATATGATATGCATACCATTGATGAAAAATTTCACCACCAAAAGGTGGTTTCAAATTAACTTTAAACATGTTAATAGCAGCTGTGTTAGCTGATACATTATCAAAAGTAATTATTAAAATTATATCTTCTATCCCATAAAAATTAAAAATTTCCATTATAGTTGAAAAATATTTGCGTTATGTGGAAATAGACATAAACGAAAACTAATTATTCATTTTTGTAAAACCCAATTCCCGTCAACATAATGCGCCGTGACGCATAAATAACCAGTTTTATTGCACACCTCCCAAAGATCAGAAGTACAAGAGATTGTAACATTGAAAGACCTAAAATTATCAACTAAAGATTGTCTCATTGCATAAAAAAATTTAATGCAATCAGCTTGAGTTGTGTTGCTACTTACCCGTTTAAATTGTGGAAGGCCGTCTGAATGAATTCCTCAAATGCTGAATCATCTGCAAAAGATAAAGGTAATTCGGCACTAGCTAAAAATTTAGCTGGTGTTTCACGAGCACGTTGTGCATCATATGTAAAATTTTATAAACCTTGTGATGTGAGTAACAATGTTTGTTGGTGAGAGTCCACACTACCACCTTGGTGCAACGGTAGACATCATTTTCAATGTCTATCAAAATGGTCAGTACCCCCAACCTTTTTGTTAGAAAAGTATTTTTTACAATATTTACATACCGCACGCATTTCAACTTCACTTGATTTTGGATTAGGCCGTAGCTCCTCGGTGAAATGTTGCCATGCAAGAGCAGTTCGCGGTCTTTTTCCCCTGGCACATTCTCCAACTTTCTCATTGTGCACCGATTGATTATCAATCGGAACAGTATCCGGTTCAGTGGGGTTGGAATTGTGCATCAACATTTCATCCTCGTAAAATGGTTGATCTCCAAGATCAGGGAAATTAGGGAAATTTTCTTCCGCCATTTTCTATAAGAAAACATAAATTCATGTTAACAAAAGGGTTTATAAACAATAAACAATGTAACTAAACATTAAATAGAAACAAAATACTATACCAAAAATAATGAGAACCGAGATTCAATACATTTGTTTTGCGGGATGTAGCGGAATTTGATTGAAAATTGCAAATGAAATAGATAAGAGATATGAATCGAGATGGAAAACTAAGAATCAGAGAGTGAATATGAGAGATAGAGTTATGAGAGTAATAGTAGTTGAGAGTTGAAAGAGATGTAGAAGTGTGAAGAATGTTGTGAGTGAGGTGGGGTATTTATAGGGTTTTTGGTGCGGTTTTTCGAAATTGTGCCATTAGGCACGTCGCGGGCCGGGCTTGGAGGGGCCATTTCTGACAGTTAGGCCCGTGACGTGCCGGGCCGTGTGCCGGGCTCGGTGTGACCGTTGGGCACGCCACGGGCCGCGCCGTGTTAGGCTAGTACCTCTCACGGGCCTGGGTCGTGCCACGGGTTGAGGAGTTGCGGCCCAACCCTAGCCCACGAGATGTGCCGGGCTGGCCCGGCCCGTCACAGTACAGGATCGGGCCATACCGAGCCCAACACTATAGCGGGCTAGGCCGAGCCGTCAATGGATAGTCCGACTCAATTGACAACTCTATGATCATATGTTTTCTTCCCACGAGTAACGTGAGCTTTATCACCAAGAAGCCATTCATCTGTAATAATGTCGTGGTATTTTCCTATTTGCATTTTTATTACAAAAATAAAGAAATAAATGAAACCCGACCAGATTCCTTTTTAAATAGTGGTCAGTAATATTTTGTTGCAACTTAAAACATCTCATTTTCGACTTTAGTGAAAATAAAACCTGCAATCTTCGAACTGTGGAAAATTGTTTCACGTTTACTATGACTGTAGTCAAAATCAAAGCTTATTTTAGTACAAATGTCTTTCAACTCATTTTAAGATGAATCCAATAAAGTTTCCATTCTTGAAATCATTATTACTTGTTTCAAAAGGCCTCATATTCTAATGAATGTGGTGTTCTCATGATAATTGTCACAAAGGCCCCATATATTATTGAGAGATCATGACATTTTTTATAAACCATAACTTATACATCTGCATAGTTTATTATGTTTTGACTCTAATGATTGTCACACTTAAATTACTTTAGTCATTAAACTTTGTTTTTTTTTTTTTTTTTTTTTTTTTTTGTTGTAAATTTTTTTTTTTTTTTTTTTTTTTTTTTTTTTTTTTTTTACTGTTATGATCCTTGTCATAACAATTGATGGACGATTTCTGAAATTTTATAAAGATAATCAATTTTCAACCGCATAATTGCTGAAATTATTGAAGAGAAATTACATTAAATTGAAACTATTATCTTTATTATTGTTAAAAACCCTTAAAAAATTTAGTAAAGTACTTTTCCTTTTAAATAAATCACATAATATAATATAGTAAATTACAAGTTTAAAAAAAACCCATATGAATTGAGGCTCCAATACTAAATTTACAAGTTAAAAGAAACCCACTGAGATTGAATTGGAGCTGGATATATTTTAGCGTTTCGAATTGTAATTTTTGACTTTTTCATTAATTTATAAAATCATTCAGTTCTAATGGAAACAATAGCTTTCTTTTCTCTTTCATTGTTTTGAGTTCAAAAGTTTACAAATATATAAAAATAAATATAAAAACAACAAATTGGGCTTTTATTTATAAGTACACAGAAGACAAAGGACTTCATTAAATATTGATGTAGGACAAAGAAACAACTAAATTAGAAAAAGAGAAAAAACTAGAAATACCATTCAGATTATAGAGAAATATTATTTATATCACTCTATTAATAAATAAATAATTTTCATTAAATTAATAACGAGAAAATAACGGGTCACAAAACACCATATTATTTAGAATAACATAAATAATTAACATATATAAACGATAAAATCATAATAAATCATGCAATTCTCTCATTAGAAAATTACTCTGACAATAAGTCATATATAGTAAATTGGTATTCATTACAAATTTTTCCTCATTATTTATAATTTATGAGGATACAATTACTTTATTTTTAGTAAACTATATTAAGCAAATACGTTTCTCCTTAAAAAAGAAAAAAAAATACTTAAATACTCTTTAGATTTTTTAAGGGAAATTTTCATTCAAAAATTAACAAATTACATAATAATAGTGCAAATGACTACCAATTATAAAAAAAAAATTGACCATGAACATTGACTAGATCCACTAGTGAAAATTAATGAAGTACAGGAGCGAACACAAGTGTCGAGACCTAATAGAGCATACACAAGTGGCACAAATAAAATCTAACGCGACCAAAACTCCTTACAAAACCACTACAGTTAATGGATAAAATAAGTCGACCAAAACCAAACCGCAAATACTGAGGACATAAGCGGCACAACATAGAAACCACCTGCATTATTATAATACATACACATGGCAAAGACAATGGCTTTATAAAAATTAACAAAACACTAAGAAAACTATGAATGACCTCAGCCAAATGGGAAGAAACGGCAAAGACAAGCTAGCCACCATGGTACGGAGACTAAAGAACATGGATTTGAGTAGAGTCACTGTAGAAGAATCACGACCACCATCGATAAAAAGGAAAGCGAAAGCAACACAAACGAAGCCTCCACACTAGAGATTCGCCGGAAACCTCCCGCTCCTCGCACTGGCGGAAGCCGCCATGCCTCCACCTCCAACACCAATCACTTTAAGACACTCGCCGCCCTCCCCAAAACTATAGCAATTAGGGGGCTGAGATCCTTGAACAACGGTGCCACCTGATTAACGCCCTAAAGTGATGTTCACAAGCGGTCAATTGTAGCACAGAAGGGCGGTCGTATCCACAGAGAGATGACAAAATAACAAGAAAGATTAATAGAATAAGAGCGTTAGAGTAAAATAAATAACAAGTGAATTAAAGAAAAAGAAGAATTTTAGAGATTTTTGTTGCAAATAAAATAAAAAGGATAAAATTTGTATGAAGGAAATTCAGTTGTAAAAATGGTAAGGTGTCGAGAATCCCTAATGTTTCGTTCACCAATTCAAGTTTTGATTCACAAAATAAAAGGATCGAATAACTTAAATCTCTATATTGACTCCGAAAATATTATCATTACAAGTTATCCAAAATCGACAATATATCAATTTGACAATATTGCAGTAAAAGACAATTTATAAAATAATTTGAATAACAAAACAATGCGTGACATAATTACATAAGAAAAGCGTGACTGAACTTATATAAAAATTTGCACACAATATTTTGAAAAGTAAAAGAAAGATAGATGAGATTTAATTCATTCATATATTGAACTTTACAGCACAAGGAATCAAAAACCTGAATTGGGTCACTCAATAAAAGTTCATCTCTAACCTCACTAAGAGAACTTTAGCCTAGCTTGCAAAACATTCTCACAAGTTCTAGAGAGAAAATATGAGAGTGACAGCAAGACGACAGAAAACTGAATAATAAGAGCTTACAAAAACCTTAGGCTAACCCTCTTATTTATAGCGTTCAGAGGATGCCTGTCAAATAAGGAAATAAATAATAAAAATAGAAAATTACAAGAGAAAATTAAACAAAATAAAATTACACATAAATTAGGAGAAATCATATATATGATTTGGGGAAGAAATCTGGCCAATTTGCTCCCATTTTGAAGGAGAAATTCAGACTCATCACTCAGTGGACACGTGTCGCAACGTGATTGGCAGTGAGGAGACAAAACGTCACGTGTCGCGCGCGGAATGGTTGGAGCTTGCTGGTGCTGAACAGGCGCAGGGTCCGCATTAGACAGCTGGCGCGCGAAGAGTGGGCGGTCAGCTGGACTAAGCATGAGTGGGATCCACACGAGATTGGGTTGGAACGCGCTGGAGATCGCGCGTGAATGGGACGCGCTCCAGTGGCTAGGCAGTGCAGGTGACGCGCGCGAGGGAAGCTGAGGAATGTGGGAGAGCTAGGACGGTGGGGCCCACAACGCTGATGCGACGTGGCCGGCTCAGCTGGCTCGGCGCGACTCTCCCTTTTTCTGATCGGCTTGTGGGCTCGGCTGAAAAGCTTGGCTCAGTTAGAGGATTTCTTTTATGGCTTTTCACACTGCTTTTTATCTGTAAATAATTAAGTAAAAATTAGATAAATTCCAATTAAAAATATTATGAATAAAAATAATAGAATTGTTTAATTAAAACTTAAATATTTTAATATTATATAAATTAAAAGCAGTATTTATGGTGCATTTTCATACACTAATCACTACCATACTCTAACTCACCAGATCTAGGCCTTCATCACCCATGGATCATGGCTATCAACGGCCAACCAGACTCGCATGGCCTTAGCCATTGTCTCAAGGGCTAAGAGTCCGACAACTAGTCATTTGTGGTGCTAAACTCCGGCTCTAAAAGGGGATTCCAAACTCGAAATTCTAGCCGCACCTCCTTAGAGAAAAAAAGAATGAGAATATAAAAACGAATTGGATCTAATTTCAGAAACATGTAAAGGATAATACTCATTAGATTCAAGTGTTATAGATTAAACCAAAGTTATTTATTTATTTTTATTTATTTATTTTATGATCATTTCGTCTCTCTCTCTCTCTCTCTCTCTCTCTCTCTCTCTCTTATGCTAATACAGTTTTATGATCATCTGTTTCCTTTCCACGAGAAGGGTGGGCTTGATCGCCGCTAAGAAGCCACATTCGTCTGCAATAATGTCATTGTCGTTTCCTATTTGTTTTTCAATTTTCATTACAAAAATAAATAAACAAACAAACAAAATGAAACCCGACCAGATTCCTTCTTGAATAGGGGTCAGTAATATTTTGTTGCAATATCATTTTGGACTTTGGTGATATAGAACCTGCAATCTTCAAACAGTTTGTTTCACGGTTACTAAGACTGACTATAGTCAAAACAATTGGTTCAAAACTTATTTTAGTACAAGTATCTTTCAATTCATTTTAAGATGAAACCAAGTTTCATTCTTGAAAAGAATGTTCATTATTACTTCTTCCCTTTCCCTTCAATTCACCCCCTAACCAATATTACATCCACTCTTTCCACCCTTTTTCTCTTTAAGTCTTGAAAATACTTTGCAGAGGTTCGAGAAAGACAAAATTGGAAGCGTTTATACAGCCTTAAATACAGACCTATGCATATATTTCCGTTCTTTGTTGGGCAAAATCTGACATCAATTTCTGGTACAAAAAATTAAGATGGAAAAGTAGGTTGGAGAAGGGAAAATTAAGCAGCAACTTCTTGCTCCTTAGAAGCAAGCTGGTTCTGGATATGCTGAGGCACAACTTCGAATTTGGCTAATTGCATTGTGTAAGAAGCACGGCCTTTGGTCATACTTCTGAGTGTGCTAACATATTGAAACATCTCTGCCAGAGGAACCAGCGAGTCAACCACCTGCATTTCAAACCCACCAGACAGTCCATTGTGAATAACATATAATTATTAACCCCACCAAAATCAAAGGGAGTTTTTTATTTTATTTTATTTTTTTTCAGCCAAATGTAAATTTTTCCAAAATTAAGTAAACCGCATCGCAGTGAGAAAAAATTTTCATGATTCATTGACTTTGTTTGATAGGAGGGAGAAAATATGAAGGAAAAGAGGTAGATAATCTAGGCGAGGGAAACAGAAAGAACCTAAATTCTTTCGGTCATCGGTATGAAAGGAAAAAAAGAACAAAAATCACTTCTTTTGTTTGGTATAAAATGCAAGGGAAGAGAAAGATTAGATTTTGTACAATAATCGTTTTATCCTTGGTTGGTTTCGTTTCCTCCAATAATGAAAGGTAATGAAATAATTTGACTCTATATTCCAATTAAGTGGATGAGTTCTATTTGAGAATTTTCTCTATATAAAGAGGGAATTATGATTGGGATTCATCGGAGGATTTTTTATCGCTCGCATTTCCTCATCTAATCCTCCCGACCAAACCATCGTAAATCCTAAAATCTTTTCACTAATCTCCCCACCACTGTCCCTCTTTCCACTTTTCCTTTCTATTAAGCTCTAAATTAATAATGAGCACAAAAACATGTTAATTGGGCATACCTTGAGACCTCCAGGCTTGTCGCCGAAGCTGTTAATCTGTCCTCTCCTAGAGTTGAGATCACCAATGACATCTCCCAGATGTTCTTCAGGTGTGATAACTTCGACTTTCATGATAGGTTCAAGCATCTTAGGACCAGCTTTCTTCATCCCCTCCCTGAAAGCTCCTCTAGCCGCGAGCTGGAAAGCCAAGACACTTGAGTCGACGTCGTGGTAAGAACCATCTACGAGCGCCGCACGAACATCCACAACAGGGAAGCCTGCGAGCACACCGTTGCTCATGCACTCCTCCAAACCTTTCATTACTCCGGGAATGTACTCTCTTGGGACAGCACCTCCCTTTATTTCACTCTTGAACTCGTATCCACTTCCTGCCTCCATCGGTTCAAACCGAACTGTGATATCGGCGAACTGACCCTGTCCACCTGACTGTTTCTTGTGAACATACTTCACTTCTGATACCTTGGAAATGCTTTCTCGGTAGTTCACTTGTGGTGCTCCAACATTAGCTTCTACCTATGTATAGGAGACAAACCAAAATTACAGGTCTAATACATGTTCATATATGTTAGTAAAGGGACAACTAAAGGAGTTAAACATCAAAATGAGAAAAACATGAGTTAATAACAAGGAAACGAGAATAATTGAGTTGCAGATATAAACCTTAAATTCTCTCTTGAGCCGGTCAACAATAATCTCGAGATGCAATTCTCCCATCCCTTCAATAACTGTCTGGTTGATCTCTTCATCCCGTGAGAAGTGGAAAGAAGGGTCTTCTTGAGCAAGCTTAATCAAACCAGTAGCCATCTTATCGACATCAGCTTTGGTCTTGGGCTCGATTGCCACCTTAATCACAGGATCAGGGAAGTCCATTCGTTCAAGCACGATGGGATTGTCCGGATCACACAATGTTTCACCTGTAATGGTATCTTTTAGACCTGCAAGGGCAACTATATCACCTGCCAAAGCTACCTTAACGTCCTCTCTACTGTTTGCATGCATCTCCAGAAGTCTACCGATTCGCTCCTTTTTCCCTTTATTCGCGTTCAATACATATGAACCGGCTGCCAACTTCCCAGCATACACTCTCACGAATGTAAGGGACCCGACAAATGTATCATTCATGATCTTGAAGGCTAGTCCAGAGAATGGTTCATCATCACTTGCAGCTCTCTCTATTGTTACTTCTGGGTTCTCCGGGTCAGTCCCCTTCATAGCTGGCAAGTCAAGTGGGGAAGGTAAATAGTCTACAACAGCATCAAGCAATGGCTGAACCCCCTTGTTCTTAAAGGCTGAGCCACATAGTACTGGCACAAAACTACCTGAAATGGTTCCCTTCCTAATCAATTTCTTGATAGTTTCTTCATCGGGTTCAACTCCTTCCAGGTAGTTCTCCATAGCTTCATCATCCAATTCGACTATGGTTTCTATCATCTGAGCTCGGTACTCTTGTGCCAGTTCTTGAAGATCTTCTGGAATGTCTTCATACGTGAACTTTGCGCCCGACTCTTCACCTGACCAAATTATAGCTTTCATCCTCACGAGATCAACTACGCCCTTAAAGTTATCTTCAGCCCCGACTGGAATTTGAATCACCAGTGGCTTGGCACCCAAATTCGTCACTATCATGTCTCTAGTACGGAAAAAGTTTGCTCCAAGACGATCCATCTTATTGACAAAGCAAATCCTGGGCACACCGTATTTATCAGCCTGCCTCCACACGGTTTCGGATTGTGGTTCCACACCAGCAACACTGTCAAACAAGCATATTGTGCCGTCCAACACCCTGAGGGCACGCTCCACTTCTAGGGTGAAGTCGACGTGGCCTGGAGTATCGATGATGTTAATCCGGTGCTTGTTCCAAAATGTAGTTGTTGCTGCGGAAGTTATGGTAATGCCTCTCTCTTGCTCCTGCTCCATCCAATCCATAGTAGCTGTTCCCTCGTGAACTTCTCCTATTTTGTAGTTTCTTCCTGTATAGTACAGAACCCTCTCTGTGGTGGTCGTCTTTCCGGCATCTATGTGAGCCATAATTCCGATGTTGCGGTAATCCTTCAATGGTACGGTGCGCTTTTCTCCTGAAAAGAAAAGAAAAGAAAAGAAAAGAAAAACTATAATATATGCTACACTAGCTAATATGAGATACAAGTAAGAGTTATAACAGTTTTGAGACTCCTAACATTCCACGCAACTAAGTAACACTTTCCAAAATACGGGACTGTTACAGCGGAATATGAATTAATCATGGAAGGCTATATTTTGATTGAATTTATTTCAAGGGACTAAATTTTTTATCCTCTTCAAGCTGAAAGGCCCAGCCTCGGTCTTAACTTGGAAATTGACAGTTCTATACAAACTTCAGAACAGTATCAAACAAAACACACAACCAATATATTGAAAATTCATATGGTTTACGCATAATTGTAAAATGTGAAGTAATGGGATTGAAAAAAAAGACTATTAAAACATAACCTTGATTCATTTCAAGCACAAAGAAAACCAACTATTGAAAATTTCCCAGAGAAGAAACTATGCAATAACTCAATTAAACAATTTATCAAAACGGGTCTTCAAAAGAAGCAAAATTGAACCGTAATTGAATAAACCAAAGGAGAAAAAAAAAAGATGAAAATACCATCAGCAGCCATGGCGAAGACAGAGAGGTTCCTTCGGGTCAGCTGGCGCGAACCAGAGAGCTTCAAAGACATAGAACTCAAACGCAGACTCCCAAAGAAGTGGGAAAGCGAAGACGAAATTACAGAAGACGAGGAAGGTCTCGAACGAACACCCCTGAAACCAGCATGGGAAAGAATTGTGGAAGGTCTTCTTTGAGAGGCGTTGAAGCCGAAATTGGCCATGGAAGAAGAAGCCGACCCCGCCGTCAACCTCACAGACTCCGCCGCCATCTTCTTCTACTTCTTGTTTACTCTGTCTGTGTGTGTGTTTGGCGAGTGAGAAAGTTTGTGGGATTGTTTTCCCGCTCTCTCGCTGTGGCGCGGAGAGAGTGAGACTGAGGTTTGGGGTGGGGGATTGTTCTTTCTGGGGGATAAAGAGGGATAAATATAAGAGGTGCTTATGAGTTCGATATATTGTCTTGTTTTTGCTCGTTTCTCAGCCGGAGGATTATTTTTTGTTTTCTTGTCGAAGGAAATGTCATCCACCACAACTAGATGAATATAAAAATCCAAAAAGACTAATTCGCCCTCCAATTTTTAAAATTTATGTTGATTTAGCTAAGCCTCTAATTTTAAGGTCTAAAATTCGAGTCATCCCCGTTGTTGGATTAAGAGAAGAAACTATTAACAAGTTTTTTGTACCATGTTACTGAATTATCTATTTTTTTTTTTTAATTAGCATATGTAGTTCTTTTACTATTAGTTAACATGATAATTTTTTAAAACCAATAAAATAAAAAGATCTAACCTAAGCAAAGCGAATTTGCTTAAGAGCTTAGATTGATTCCTTCATTCTACTCTTACAATGTGATGGAGATCAACATATTTTTATCACCTAAAGTTATACAAAATTGGAAAATCCCATTAGCTTCCTCTACAATAGTACTCAAATCAAAATTTTTCTTTCTCAACCCAGAAAGAGAAACTTAAAGGAATGGCAGTTATGCAATTTTGCATACTCCGCTGATTAAAAGCGTCAAATGAAGCAAATTAATTGAATAATTTGCGGCCTCGAAAGACATTGGCTGTGAAGAGGCCACGTAGCTCAAACATTAGTGAAGAAGCCCATTAGACGCCCAAGGCCCCCCCGTTTGAATTCATGCATGTCTTAATAAAGACCCTTTAAAATTCACAAATATGAGTCAATATTTTTATCTTTTATTATTGATTTAAAATTTTTTTTAATTAAATAATTAAACTAATAAAAAAATATTTATCAAAAATAAAAATTTAGATTTATACACTCTTAAACAAATATTGTTTATCAAAACAGTCACTCCACAACTCACTTGTGTGCTACAATAGTCCATGTCCATGCATATTTGCAATGGCACACGTCTTCATCAAATTCTCGGCTTCCCATTGTCGTTTTTCGAGACTTTCATGCGGTCTGTTGCTGCGTGCGTACTAACGTGGATTCCCGAGGTTCATTCTTTGTTTTTCTTTTTTAACTAGAAAAGAATGAAAAATCTGAGCTTCCCCTGACCGTAATTATTTTTGTATTTTTGCATTAATATGTTTCTCAATTCTCATGGTTCTGGACAGCTTGTCGTTTTTTCACTTCGTCCTAGTAGGCGTTTTTGAAAATTTCTGGCGTGAGTGTGAGAGGGAGATATTTGGACGCGGAGGCGTGTGCAATAACTGGAACCAAAGAGCCAGAGACGCAGGATTATTAACTGAACGCAAACAATTTTGAAACACGATCATTTCCCCTGAAAACGACAACACATTATGAAAGCGACGTTAGTATTAAAAACGACACAATATTGCAAAACGACATCAGTCCCTCCAAGCAGCAGTAAGCCTGGAAACGACGGCCTAAGAGTGATAGATATGATGATAAACAGTACAAACGAGTCAACGACCATCTGCCATAAACGAAAACATGGCAAACACATAAACCACTACGCATTTCCTCCAAACAACAGTAACTCGGAAAACATCCTTTAACGAGGATTAAATTGTGAAGAACGAGAACATTTCAAGCAAATGACAAATATTCGTAAGCGATATCACATCCTAGGAAAAGACAATAACATTGTTAGGTTATTTTCACAAATAACTGCCAAAGTATAGCCTCAATTCCAATATGTGGCCCTCAACATTTTAGTTTTACATACCACGCAATATAAATTTTGCAAAAAACCAGAGCTAGTCTTTACTTTAGAGAGTTTGTCTAAAAATTAATGGAATCACATGAAGCGTCAATTACGAGGTTTCTTTTTTCGATTTTCCTAAAATGCTTTCGAAACAACGACACCAACTGTAAATGACAACATACAATAAACGACAATATTTCACCTAACGGTAGTACCTCTAGGATAAAACCGATATGTTTCTGAAAAGAAGACATGAAATCTAACAACACTATATCATACAAACCACAACAACAAGAAACGAAACTATCTCAAATAAATGACAACATTTCAACGACGATAAACTTACAAATCGACAACATAGGGAAAACAATTCCAATATAATGGCAGTAACACTAAATAACATCCTACAGTGGATAAAGGAATACATCTCATAAAGGAGGATGAACTTTCAAAGGGACAGCAGTTATTGTAAAGGAGAAAACACCACAAGGTTAGAAACGACAATATAGGAAACGACAGTAAGATCAAATACGACATTGTATTTGACAAATGACACCATTTAAAACAAAACGACAATGAGTTACTCTTTTGTTGCATTTTCTACTATGTTACTGAGTTTGGGTTCCCAAGTAACTCTTCTTTCAGCCTGTCTTTGGTCAGTTTCTCGTACCTCAATTAAACAAGAATCTCACTCTTCTTTATCTTCAGAAAAAAATGATCTTATCGTTGAAAATACCAGTGAGGATTAATATAGATATATATCATTCTACCATCTGTATTATATGTTATATATATGTTCACTATAAGTAATCCTTTAACTGTTTATAAGCATGGACAAGGATAAATATGATTGGTGGAGGATTTATCTCTTTTGCGGGTCCAAATGAATATGCAGCCCCAAATATAGGTGGAATAACTAACTTTCCAAATGAATATGCAGCCCCAGATATAGGTGGAATAACTAACTTATAAACTTGGGTTGTCCACTTTAGATGCAAGTTTGGCCCTTCTCATAAAGATTGATAGTAGCAAAGCATGTGCGCAAAAGTAGTGTAGTGCACTATAAATCGTCACTAAATTGACTCTTTTTTTTTTTTTTTTTTTTTACCTCTTTTTGAGGATACTTCCCAACAAGTTATTAACCGGTGTTCGAAGCTCCCAAAATAGTCTAAGCAAAGCAAACCTATATTTATTTATAGTTTGCATTGAATTTTGAACCTAACTATTTGAGCAGTATTCTTCCAGAACATGCACCTTAACCAACAATGTGTAAAGGGTATGTGGCATTGGTTGAATTTCTAGCAAATTGAATTGCACCCTCATATTGCTCAATTTCTGGTTTCGTTTATTGTCTGATTTGTGCCTCGTCTGGTAACCTTGTCTAGAGCAGATCAAATCGCTGCATGAAGAAAGAAAATCATTGCATATAGCTAGTTCATGCCTTGTGATGAACTTGGGGGTTGAAATAGAATTGTGAAGGATAAGGCTATGTTATTTATTGCCATTTGTTGGGTGACAAAATAACCCGATGTAACCTGCTTAAAATTAATGCTTTACTAGATTCTGTTGATGGTACGATAGTAAGGAGAATGTCTTTCATTTTTTTGTTTTTAAATGAGTCTAGTTTCGATATTCAGAGTTTCGATATTCAGTTGCCGGGCTATGCGGGGTGAGATCCATGGTTCATGAGTGAAACTTGATAGATGTAGTTACATGTTGAGTGGGCCAAGTTGTCATCACATGAGAACAGAAAAAAGAGACCACAAAGTTCCTGTGCAAGCAACAAGCGGTCTGCATTTTGCAGACTAAAAGTGATTGGTAAAGTCAGCAAAAAGCGACCTTGTTTAACAGATAAATCTAAGACATGTCAAATTGATATAATTAGTGAAAGAATTCGCACAAACACAACAAAATACTTTAGTTCACGTTCTTCTCTATTCTTTTGTCAGCTGCAGAAGTGCACAAATCGAGGAAATTGCCTGTGGTAAGCAAAATTAAAAAAAAAATTAAAAAAAATAAAAAAGACGATTGCTTCACTACATATCAAGGCCATTGTTACATTTTGAGAATAGGTACAAACATATAATTAGGTGATTAAAGTAACACTTTAACCACTATCACCAGTACAATCCCGCTAAATACAAGCTACGTACTACTACATCAATAATAACCGGGGCTACCTACTGGCAAAAGGATTGCCAATTTTCTAGCCCCGTGACAAGACAAACCATTTTAATTAACTTACAAACAAAGTTAGAAAAACACAAACAAACAAACAAAAACAAAATCCCCTACATATCCTTACTGATAAGCACATTCGATATTCGATGCGACTGAGATAACATACTCCTTGTTAAGGGTAGAGCCTCACCGCAGAGCTTTTAATGAACATTATTACCTATCAATGTCTGGAGAGCTCTTTTATACAGCCCGAAAGAGTATGCAAACTTCATCACCCCATTCCTGGACTTTTTATTATAAAAAAGCATATATGAACATAATATGCACCATATACATATTAATTATATATTATATATTCAAGAATGAAGAAGAGCATAGTGGTTAACAAGAGCCAAGGCATTCCTAGTCATATGAGCAACATTCATAATGTGTCCCCTCACATTGCTCTTGATCGCACTACCACTACTTCCATTCATGAATTTCTCCGAAAACCCATCAACACAAGTGTCCTCGTCCGTCAAAGCCGCACTAACCCACGTCTCAATATCACTCATTCGGAGCCCAAACTCGGACGTCCCATTATTCTCCTTCTTCCGGAACCCAACACCCATTTCCTCTATAGACCTCTGCAGCTCCTCCACCGAGTCTCTCAGCTCCTCAACGCAGTCGCTCAGCGCCTCGGCGTCTCTCGGCGTCAAGCCATGCCGGGTTTTGGCTTTCGACAGCTTCGACATCGCCGTGGAAGCGGAACGCACCGTCTTGAGAGTCTCGGAGAGAGCCGCGGTGGCCAGAAGCTTAGGGCTGCGTTTGATTTGGGAGGCGTGGCATGAGAGTGTTGTGAAGCAGAGGTCCGGGTACGAGGTGGCCCCGCATGAGGTTTTGACGAACTGGGTGTTCGTGTCATGTTCTCCGACAGGTCTGGTTGAGGTGATCATTGGGATGTTGATCATCATAACCATGAGGTTGGTTGAGAGAAGAAGGAGTATTGTTGGTGGTTTGTGAGAGAGAGAATAGGAGTTTTCCATGTTTTGAAAGATAAAAGTGAGTTTTGGATGATTGATAAATTTGATGATTTGATGATGATGATGATGATGAAGGCTTTTGGTGTGGAGAGAAATAAGAAGCCGTATTTATATTGTAGAAAAAGTGTGTATGTGGTGCTGCGTAGAGACAATAATGAGTGATGAAAGTGCAACCAACTCTCATGCACATGGGTGAACATTGATACACGTGAAATTACAGAGGATGATGAAAAAACAGGACTAGTTATACTGTTCAAAATTGGGAGGATTATGGAGTGAGGTATAAAGGATTAGGGATGGTCTTAAGTTCGACAACGGTTCGGTAGGTTGTAAAACTTGTAATTTTTTGGTGTAACGTGGTAGCTGGTAACATTGAAGAAGGTTACTTATAACACGGTGATAGATTATTATTTTATTGAGTGATACACTTAGATAAATAGTGAGTATTATACGAAATAATATTATACGGGTGAATAAAAAATACCGGATTATTCGGCCGCCGAACTGAAGACATTTTCTAAACTATTCTCTACCATGTTAAAATCATGTCAAAAATAAGGAAATATGAAAAAACTGACAAAATCTTATACGTGTGATTTAAATAGAACTTTTCGCCTAAAGTAAAATTCTCTTAAAAAATGTGATTCGAACAGAATTTAATAAAGATGTTAAGAGCCAAAACTGTTCAATACGGATAGAGTATCTTTTTGTGCTAAGAACTGTGCTAAAATTGGTCACATGAGAGTCATGTATATGTAAGCAATATAGGGCTTCTTCTTTTGCAAGTATTCTTGAGTTAAGTTTTTGAGTTGAGTTTGAGTTATAACTTGAGTTGAAGTTGTAACTTGAGTTTGCGTTTGGTTGTCTATACTTGAGTTATGATTTGAGTTAAGAATTTTTTTGAGTTTGTGTTTGTTTGTAATAAAACTTGAGTTGTGAATAGTGGATATCATTTTTTTTCCTTTAATAATTTTATTCAATTCTTTTACAATTTTTTTATTTTCCGAATTTATTATATTTTTTTGTAATTGAATATGAATAATTTAAATTAGTTGTAAATAATTATTAGTAATCTGGTAATTTTATAAAAGACATAATTAAAAAAGTAAAAAATAATAAAAATAAAAAGTAGAAGATCACTTTTCATTTTAATTAAGTTCAAAAATACAACAATAAATACATAAATTATAACATTAGTATTTAAAGACCCTATAACATAATATCATCGCATATCAACGTCTTTTGAATGAGGGCTATTAGCGTGCACGACGGTGACGGTACACTGCCCACATTGTATGCGACCTTGCATCCCTTAAAGCATTCATCTCCACTTCTGCATTAGAATCCAATGGTTGACCCTCATGGTTAGTATTATCGTTAATGTCCCCATCAACATTCTGTGGATCAATGTCTGCAACCGGAACGCCATCTTTTGAGTATTGGTCCAATAGGCTGTCCCCATTACGGTACATATGGATAAAATTATGTATTATAGCACACGCTACTGGAATCATAACTTGTTTGGTCATGGGATAACGGTTAATGGTTCTCCAAATACGAAATCTAGCATTCCACACACCAAATGTTCTTTCAATGACATTACGCAGTGAGGAGTGGGTGTAGTTGAAAAGCTCACGTACACTGTGAAAACCACTTTCACGGCGAGTCCTATACTCTTGCAAGTGGTATGTTGTCCCCCGATATGGTGCCATGAAGCATCCGTTGTTAGCGTACCCCGAGTCGACGAGGTAAAATTTTCCTACACTTATACGTATATTAATTAACAAATAAGCGTACGGATGAAGTATTTGAAATGTCAGTGTACATATAAAAAATCATTGTAGGCAGACCTAGTGGCGGTGTCAGAAATCTTTTGTTCATGGATTCTAAGGCAGCAGCCAGTACTCTCGCATCGTGTGCGGAACCCTCCCATCCAGATAACATGTACGTAAATTTCATATCAAAAGAGCACACGGCAAGCACATTAAGTGAAAAGAACCCCTTCCTATTTCTGTAAAGTTCAGCAGTTTCACGAGGGGGAACACATGGGACGTGAGTACTGTCAAGTGCTCCAACACAATCATTCATAGTTTACAAGAGTTATGTTGGTTGTATTAAACAACGTAATAATTTTTAGAAAGCATTATAAACCGCATTAAAATTTAGATGTGGCTAATTAATGTAGATTACCAAACTTACATCGAACCACGGTGAGTATTTGTTTCCACTTGCAATTATGTGCGGGTCAACGGTTTCAAAATCTGGATGTCTAATGAAGTCATTCTTCAATGTGCATACCGCCTCAAGAACTTTGGTGAAGTACTCAGACGCCGTTGATCCAGATTGCTGCCAAGTGTCCTGCGCCTCCCTGTTAGTTTGGTTTTGACATAATATAGTTAGGAATATGAATAATTGCTCATCAACATTTAGGTGGGCGGTCGGTTGCAATAAGCCCCTTTCCTCAAGGATAAAACTTAGGCGCAAGAATGCATCACTACTCATACGGACTTTGTCATACATCACTGTTGGACTACATTCCAGATAATAATTCACTCTAAGTACGCCTCCCCAACCAGAAGTGTGCCTTCGGCGAGAAGGTTCTCTGTATACAAATCCAACACATAGCATAGTCGCCGCAACCACCACTTGCATGAAAAAATCATCGTCACTGTCATAGTCTGATTCATTAGAACCCATTGGGTTTGAATTCCCACCTATATCCATCCCTGTCCAATTATTCCAAATAATGATGCAAAAAGTTAAAAAATGCAAATCATATGCATAAAGTTAAAAACTACATATAAAACAACCCATGCCGAAATAAGTTTACATTAAGCGACAACTCCTCAACCAAATGTGTCGCAACCTAATAAGAATGACTCAATTAGTACTAATAACGACAAACAATGAAGGAAATAAAACCATAAACAAATCAATTTCGACAAGTCTCTATATGTTCGTAACAAGTAAAAGGAATGAAATGACATCATCACATGTGCGAAGAACCATCCCCTACGCGTGGCATTGGATAGGGTGGTCTTGGGAACGGTGGCACAAACGGTTGAAATGGGGAAGTGGGTTGTCCGAATGTGTTGGCAGGTGTAGTGTTCGTGTGCACGGTCGGCTGAAAGAACGAGGGCATATGCATTTGTTGTGGTGGAGGAGGAGAGACTTGTTGGTTTGCACACTGCTCCATAGTCTGCTGAATCCACACAAGCCGATGGTGTTCTGGCATATGAAGGAATGGCTGCTGCCATCTAGGATTGGTAGCCATAAAGTTGAACATGAAGAGATATTGTTCTTGGGATATGTCCAACGTTCCCAATAAATCGAAGCATTGAACCTCAACGTTTTCACTTTGCACGGGCATGGTCGCAGATGCATTTATACCTCGAGACCGACTGCTTGTTTCTATCGAAGTTACAAGGCGATCCACAGCCTGCTCCATATAGCTAGGTGATATTGTACGAGAGTTACGAGTTGACCTTTTACGTATCAATCGTGATGGTGAGTGGACATGTTGTCCGCGGCTTTCTCGGTGCATGCCATGTCGCCTATCTGCAGAAGGAACATCGTCACCGTCATTGAAACTCGTTGGTCCTCTCTCAATGGGGCTGCCGGACCCATGTTGTAGTGGAGCATCATCCTGACCATACTCAAATGCCCCATTTGCCCGTGTATTGACGAACGCGCAATAATACAAATCGTAATCCAACAAGGGCTTCCTCCTCGCCCTTTCAACTTCGGGATGGCTCTGTAAATGGAGCAACAAATATTAATACAATTAGGAAATGGTTCTCTCACATACGTATTCAATATCAAATTCAGAAGTCGAAGATGATTACAAAAAAGTGGAACAAGTGATTTAAAGAAAAAAGAAATCCCCATACAAAGAAATCCTAACATGGGGGTGACGGCTAAATGTTCATGATTCGAACTACTAGTTTTTCCTTTCAGGGGCTTTTTTCAGCATGTATATTGGAGACACACCTGTGTCAGAGCAAACAAAAGAAGAAATAGGAAGAAATGTGGCTAATATAATTAGAAGGTGCTGAGAAAGTCCATGTCTGGTCTCCACGGCCTCACTATTCAAATGGGCTAGTGGTTGCTAATTCTATACTATTAAGGTTAATGAAATCACAGAAGAAAAGAAAAAAAAATAAAAACACCAAAAATCTCAATGGAAAAACTGCATTTATACTTTCGGATGTATTCATTATAACAAAAAAGAAGTTTATGCTAAAGGAAGAGAAACAAAAATACCACTTTGGACAAACATTTATGCCATGGAAGTGAAAGAGTATAAACATGTCTTTTACTAAAGAGTAAAAAAAATAAAATCGTAAGTGACATAAATGTAAGAAAGTCCCAATCTACCGTTTTTATGGAATAAAGGGGCTTAAATCCTAACATTAAACTGAGGTTGAGCTTTTTATATGGCAAACCAAAAACCATAGCCCAACGAAACACCCTCACATGGTAAACTCTTACACAAATGCACTCCCCTTGTGAGGCCTATAATCTTTGGTGCTCGAGATATCTCTCGAGCAATGGAGCTGTTTTAAGGGCAAAAATGTAAAAGAAGTAGAAAGTTACACTGATAAATTGTTGCCAATACTCGTCAGTGCAGGTGGGGTTCTTCTGAATCGGATCCCATCCAAGTCCGGTGGCAGTACGAAGTAGAAACTCAGCATCAAACGTTTTCTTTAGTCTACTAGCTTTTTGTTTGACTTTGTCCCAAGTTAGGGGGACGATAAAATGCTCACTTAGCTCCGCCGCCCATTGTGTGTATTTGTCTCGGTGCGGGGTGGTACCGACAGAGTTTAATAAATTGAACTCACCTAGACGTCTAAGCATTTGTTCTTCAGCTTGTGGACTCCAATTTACATCTCTATCTCTCCTTCTCGCCATCTAAGTATTGACAATACCAATATGGCAGCAATACGTATGTACATACCATACAAAATTCATTTAATGAGGTCGGATGTTGGAAGGAGGCTCAGATGTGTGTAAAGGCCCTCATCGTCCTATTATGGAGCATTATCCTAGGCTAGGACAATTAGGCTGCCAAGGTTTAAGTTCAATTAATCCTAGTGGTAGGTTTACAATACACTTTAAACCCGAACTAAACGAACATTATGCCATGAGGTTATGCATAAACCGGCAACCAATATGCTACCAAAGTCATAGCTAACGTCGGCATATTGCTCAAGCAAGGATTCAAAGTAAATTAAAGCAACCATACCAACCAAGAGTAATAGAATCAACCGGCAACCAATTAGTAACCAGCCATCGAATATCACTCGACAAAAGGAACTAGGTCATTAAATACAATTACATCGTCATAGCCACGGTAAAATGCAATCTAGAAACTGAAAAAACCAGAAACAGTTTCTGGTTTTTTTCCAGAAACTGCACAGCAGGGGTTCCAAATATACATATGAGAACAATATTCAAAAGTTTTCCAATCATCATGTAAGTATATAACTGTAGATTCTGGAGAACATTCTTAACAGATGAACAAGGTTCGTATACTTATTGCCAAAGAAAAATGGACGTCCGAATGAGGGGATTTACTTATAAGCTATAATACTTATTGGTAGAAATTATTTTTCCTACACTTATAATTTAATTTCTTTTCATTATCACATAAACGTTGCACAGCAGGGGTTCCAAATATACATATGAGAACAATATTCAAAAGTTTTCCAATCATCATGTAAGTATATAACTGTAGATTCTGGAGAACATTCTTAACAGATGAACAAGGTTCGTATACTTATTGCCAAAGAAAAATGGACGTCCGAATGAGGGGATTTACTTATAAGCTATAATACTTATTGGTAGAAATTATTTTTCCTACACTTATAATTTAATTTCTTTTCATTATCACATAAACGTAACAGTAAAGGAAAGTATGAGCACTTTGGTTGCTGGACATTGTGATCTAGTTGAAGAAAATAAACCGAAAGTTAGCAGCTAAATTAAAAATACTCTCAACAATACTAAGACACCATCACTCTGGCCAAACAAAATATGGGTTCAAAGTGTCAATGCCTAACCAAGACCTGTGAGGTACTAAGAACATATAATTGAAGAGCAGATAAAGGTCTCTCTTTTTTGTTTGACTGTTTTTTTTTTCTCGGCTTTGCTTGGTTTTTGCTTAAAACCAGCAACCTTAAAATGCATAGCTCCTGAATCAAAAACAAAAATTGAAGAAACTATTTTGAGGTTCTAAAATATATCTCAAAGGCTCACATCAAGTAATGGTTGATACATTCCGTTTACAAGGTGTGAGACAAATAAACCATTATCCAGAAAATATTCAGCAACTCGTCAAACTTCTTGAACAAGAAGAAAATTGAGAAAGAGCAGCAATCCATCTACAAAAAACCTTAAAAGCAACTCCTCAACATCGTCCTATTTGAGGCTTTTTCTTTTTTTTTTTTTTTGGTTACCATGGGGAAAGTGTGGTGGCGGAGGAGATGAGCATGCAACTTGGACGGAATTAAACGCAGGATTAGAGTGCTTACCGAGTTGGAGCCTACAGAGGAGTGGGTTTGATCTGCTCCTAGATTCCCAAAACACGAAGACTGCTGTCTCTGAGTCAGGTACCGGCGACGACAATGGAGGGGGAAGTAGGACAATTGTCGGCACAGGAAAGCACTACGTCGAGATTCTTTCCTTCTACATCGAGCTAGGATTGTTGCCTAAGGAGGTTGCCGAAGAGATCGATTTCTACCCCTGAAGTTCTCCGTCTTGAACGGAGACCAGGCGGCAGAAGATGAGGGGTGAATTTTGGGGCTAGGGTTTCTCTATCTCTGATTGAGGGAAAGGCAGCAGAACTCAGGGAGCATTTGGAGTTATGGGCATGGGGCGGAATTGAAGCGAGTGTTGAAGCTTGAACGAGTGAGCTATGGTTAAAAGGCAGAGAACCAAATGGAATCTCTCTGTAGAAGCACGTGAAGTAGCAGTTCTAGCGTGTTAGAGCGAACAGAGATGGACGAAGCATGCAACGGTAATATTACCCAGGAATCTTCACTGTAGAAAGACAAATAAGTAACTCGAATTGCAGTGGGAAGGTGAACTCGAATAAGGCAGGTTAATCGAATTAATTTTTGAGTTAAGTTTTGAGTGTCGTTTGAGTTATCACGCGTCGAACGCAAATTTGAGTAAAAGTTACACTCGAGTGGGCCTTTCTTGAGTAAAGTTGGGCAACTGAACAAGCCCATAATTTTTTTTGTTGAACAGCTTAGAGTTGATGTGTCCACATATAATTAGTTAAAAGTTAGTTATTATGCATATTATTGGTCTATACTTTTATAATAAATCTTAATAAGGTTATAACCTAATGTCCACCAAAAAAAAAAAAAAAAAAGGAAACGTAGCGTGGTCTACTTTAATAGGTTTCAACAGAGGAGATAAACTTTTTGTGAAAACACTAGAGCAATTCAGCAAAAAAAAAACAAAAAAAAACAAAAAAACAAAAAAACAAAAAAAAAAACACACTTGAACAATGTACTTAGGGACTAGCTAGGAAAGATATGAGTGGTCTGCTCTTATACTAATGAAATTAGGTGAGGCTTTTTATGTAAATTTAAGGTGCTCCGAAACTATGTTACTTTGGTATGAGTGGCAAAATTGACGGATTAACTTGATTGAATCCTGAATAAAAGATATAAATAGTGACTTTGCCCAATTATAAAGGCTGTGGAATTTTGACACTCGGACCCTGCCCATGGACCCATAGTTAGCTGGCTTTTCCAGTGGTGGATCTTTCAGAAAGGGACTTAAATATATATATAT